TAACCTGTTGATCTGCCAGTCTCTTCCTGACCGTCCCTAAGAGAGTTTTTTTTAGCTTATTTCTGAGAGCGCGAACCCCGGTCTTTGGTTTATAGTTTATCAGTGGGGTGGGCCCTTTGATGTGAGGGTTGATAGACTGGGGGCCAGAGTTATTCCAACCGAAGGACAGTGGTTCTATGCTTAGTGAGATTATCTGCAGAGGAAGAATTTTGCAGGTTGGTTTCTTGTTGCTTGGAGTTTCCAGCACCCTGGCTTCTTCCCAGTCTTCCGGAGGACTGATTATAGAGTCTTCGCAGTACTTTAATAGACCATCTGAGTTAGTGTGCTCGAGTAGTTGCCACTTTTGGGCATTGTTCCCTGACCTGGGATTTGGGCCCAGGATTTTCCAGACTGTACATGTCTCCCTCGGATCTAGGAGCCAAGAGCCTGGGGCCCAACCTGCAGCGGGCTGAAGTGCAGACCTCCAATGTGTAGGTAAGGCTGCCTGTAGCTTTGCGAAGTTTAGCGGTAGATTGTGTACTCTTGGGAGTATGATTCTCAACTCTTCCAGAGAGATCCAGTCGTTTGACTGAGTATCCCAAACATTTTTCAGTTGGATATTCCTTTTTCAATCCAGGTTTTTTCGAAAGAGCCCGGACATGCGCCTGCATTCAGTTGTGAGTTGTCTGGGAGTTTGATCAGTTCATTGTCGAACAGAATCTGGTTGAGGATTGGGGTTTTGGTAATCGGTTCTGATAGCCTGGTGGGGCGAACTTTGTTCCATGCCTTCAGAATATTCCCCCACGTGGTTGATTTGATCTGCCTATTACAAAAGGAATTGACAAAGAAGCAGAGCCATACGTGCGATGGGAGGGAAAGGTTTCATTCCCTCATTAAGATGAACTCTGCAAAAGCTTTCCAACATTTTAACTTGGAATCTTGCATGCACTGGCCATTTGGCTAGAAGGGCCAGGTTTTGTTGCCCCGGATCGAGTATGCCCAACCCACCCTCATCCCTTGGGAGGCAGACAGAGTCCCAGGTTTGTAAGGGATACATCTTTCTTTACGAGCACGTATCTTATTATAAGAAAAGGCGAGAGGTTAAAGTAGTGCATTTGGTTAAAGTAACAAACTCATTTTATTTGAGATGTATGATTCATTGTTTTAGGTTGCGTAGAAGTTTAACTCTTGTATGATGTTGTCAGTACAAATACCCTTACAAGGGTATTTGTTTTTGTTTTTACATCTCGCATGAGTCGCATCTGTAATAATAAATGAGGCAGAGGTCTAACCTACCAGAGTGGTCCTGGGTCACTTCCCCGGCCGGGCTGAAAAATATATATATATATATATTAATAATAATAAATACATATATATATATATATATACAGGGTTGTCAGGCCGAACGTACGGAGACCCCTAAGCTGACCCTTGAACGTTCAGGTGTTCGGGTCCCCTTACGGGGCCCAAACTTGACGGGGTTTGGACCCCGTAAAAAAAATATTTTAACACCTAAATATTATTTTTTTTTTCTGATTTTTTTTGCGTGAGTTCCTTGTGATATAAGGTATCTCTGTCTCAATTTTGAAGCAATTCTGTTTAGCCAAACAAAAATTAAAAATCCTCAAAGATTATGTGTCAAAACTTGCCTACCCACACTAATTTGTTTTTTTTTCTTTTCACTTGATGTTTTTCCTTTCTTTCGGGGCATGAAAAAAATTATTATTTTTTCAAACTGTATTTCTAATTTTTTCATTATGTAATATACACATATACAAGGTCATCGGCGTTCGGGACGGGCCGAACGCCCGCACGTACGGGCCCCGTCCGCCCGACGTTCGGCCAAGCGCTACCCGAACTGATGTTGTTTTTTTTTTTTTTTTTTTTTTTTTTTTTTTTTTTTTTTTNGTTGACGCCTGTCTGCTGAGAAAAATCAGGGTCCTAAGCTACAACCCGTGGAAATTTGCAGTACGGATACAAGCGCAGTGGACCTGAGTGTGATCCAGTCTAATGGGAATGACAAGCAGCTGCAGCCTACAGGCAAAAGGAACAAGTGGACCTGAGTGTGATCCCGTCCCCACAGTGAAGATGGACCGCATCATAGTGTTAAAAACAAATGACCCCGAACCATCGAGGTCATTTTTTTTTTTTCTCTCTCTCTCTCTCTCTCTCTCTCTCTCTCTCTCTCTCTCTCTCTCTCTCTCTCTCTCTCTCTCTTGCCTCTGATCCGTCGTCCATCGGGCCAGATAAAAAAAAAAAAATCCCTGAATGTTGCGCGTATGTCAACAGAGCAGTTGGGAACTCTGATGATGATGATGGTGATGATGTTGATTTCATCATGGTGATGCTGCTGATAATGATGATGATGATGACGATTGGATGATGACGATGATTATGATGATTAGATGATTAGGTGATGATAAGGATGATGGTTTTAATGATTCTTGGATAATGATGATGATGATGATGATGATGATGATGATGATGATGATGATGATGATGATGATGATGATAAGGATGATGATGATGATGATTCTAGGATGACGATGATGATGACAACACATCAAGACTCTCCTACTAGTGCATTCGCTTAGACCAACGCTGGTCCTCCCATCTCCCCTCTCCCCTCCTCCCCCCCCCTCTTCTCCCGAATAAAACACAGGAGGTACTACTGTTGTGTCGCTCTCCCCACGCGCTTCCACATAGCATTGCCCATGATTCCACGTCATCCTCCCCCTCCCTCCCTTACACGTCATCCTCCCATTTCCACACTCCCACATCATCCTTCCCCCCCCCCCTTCCCCCCCTGTCTCTTATACACATCTAGATGTGTATAAGAGCCCACCGAGGGACTGACTGTCTTGTACTAAAGGATACAGTCGAGTGACCTTCCTGCAGAGCGTTTCCCATCAACATATGGGCATCAGACGAAGCAGGAAAGTATAACTTGATGTGCCTGCCTGTCTTGTACTAAAGGATGACTGTGATCGGGAGATCATAACAAACCACCACACTTTTTTTTTTTTTTTTTTTTTAAGGTTAATTAAGGCCACCACACTTTTGGAGCACAGCATAGTGTACTCTCGTAAGAAAAAAAAAAAGTGAAAGGACGAAAAGGTGTCCATCATGCTTATTTGCTGCTGCATGAGCACTGCATACGCAGGACCCTGCCAACCTTCTGCACACAGTGCTTGTAACAAACAGGTACCCAGGTGATCATGGTTGTCCACTTCTTTCCACGGTGGCTGCCATTGTACTCAGGTCTGAAGATTTTCCTATTAAGGCAGAAACGCAACCAGTCGGCCATACAAAAGAAGTACAGTTGAGAATCCTGAGATCACATGTTTATACCAGCCTCTTGACCAATCAGTTGTGTTCATTACAGACTATAGAACACAGCTAATTGCCATAGACCAATTAGCCTTGTCCCTTAGCAGCATGTAGGGAAGACAAATAAAACGGATGATCTGAGGAAATGCAGGCTGTCCAAAATTGGATGAAGCCTCAACAACCAATAAATCTAAACCTCCAATAGAAATGGGGCAACCTTGACCTTCAAAGTTCAAACAGGTTTTGAGAACCCAATAGTATGGATTGGATTCACACTGTGGAACGCTAATGCGACACCGAAAGCACTAAAGGATACAGTCGAGTGACCTTCCTGCAGAGCGTCGACATATAGGCATCAGACGGAGTAGGAAAGTATAACTTGATGTGCCTGCCGATGTTCCAAATCTGTCTGCAAATGAGGTTGCGTTTGTGATCCAATATCAGCCTCTCGAATGCTGGTAGCTGCCAAAGTTAGCCAATACTTGACCCACAACGACTGGATTGAAATAGCCTCAGTTATCATCGATTTGCAGCTGCCATTGATAGGGCTTTCTGCCGAAGTGTTTTGTCAGAAGGACATGGTTGTGGTAGAGCTATTCATGATGAGAAGAAGTCTTGTGTGTGTGTGTGTGTGTGCGCGTCTGTGTGATTTCCCCCACAACAGCCCCATTCCACTCAGATGCATGGATTCAGACTGGAGGAAGCTTTTGTCCAATTGCAGACCATGAGAGCACTTGAGTTGAGATAGTCCAGCATTTGAACAATTTTACAATTCGACAGTTGAGCGGCAGCTGCCCACATCCCTGTGTGCGTCAAAGGACCACTTCCACGTGATGAAAGCAGAGTAAAGGGGAAGGTATACTCCTGTTCATTTCACTTCAGACCTTCAGCTCATACTTTCTGTTCTCTTAATGATGCTCATCCATGTATTATTTGCTAGTAGCACATTAGGGGAGGGTAAAGGGACAGGGGTAGGAAGCGGAGTTCTATAGGGAGTGGGGGGTTGTGGAGGGAGAAAGGGTAGGGGAGGAAGTGGAGTGCAAAGGGCAGGACAAAGGTGTGACGAACTTCACAGGATTCTAAATACTAAGCGCCGGAGCAGACTACTTGAGAATGGCACATGAGGTCAACCATCGTTTGGGTTGCATAAGAGTTTGAGTTGAGGAGCAGTCGCTGCCTATGGGAAGTGGCCACCCATACAGACCGGAGTCACCGGACAGGACTGGTTCGGGTGTGGACTGTGGAAGCACTGCATCATGTTCTTGCAGTTGCAGTTGCTGCATCGAATGGCACGGTGTAGACAAATGTCACAGGCTACGTGGCTCCTATATGCTCCGCAATTGTAAAGACATTGCCGTTCCAGCCCCTGTCTACAAACTGGACACAACATGTCAGGGTGCCGTACATGAGTGCAGTACTGACTGTCATCACACGTATCAAAACAAAAACTCGCATGGGCTATGGCTTCATGGATCTTAGATATTGCTCTCTGCAACCATAAACTGCTGAACTGGCACATCAAGTAGGGGAATGAGCCTCATAGACAAGTTACTGCAGTTTCTGCAATGAACCCCTCGCTCGCTGGCGAAGGGGGATGTTTGAATTTTAACACAAAAGAAAATAACAAAAATGATAGAAAGCATTTACAATGTGGCAACAAAAACTTTCTGCACACAGGCACCAAAAACTTAAAGCTCAAAGCACCGGTACACCCTCCGAGTTTTGCTTGTGGCGACAAAAACTATCTGCACACACACACACGCACACACACACACACAGAAACACACACAGACACACACACTGCACACACTGCACACACTGCGCACACCCGCACACAAAACGAAAAATGTACAAAACTATACGATCCTGTCACCCCCTCCCGCCGCAATGTCTGCATCGACCTCTGCCTCCTCCTCGTCCTCCTCAACACCCCCCTCGAAATCCGGGTCGCTCGATGATGCCGATGTGCTCGAGCCTGATGTGGCCGCGGATGCTAGTGCTGCCATCGTCGTCGCCTCTCCCGTGCGCCTCCTGGTGATCCGCAGCGCTATGCCCTCCTCGAACTCGGCGCTCGATGATGTGACCGGTGCTGCGTCCGCGTGAACGTCTCTTCCATCTGCAAGCGCTCTCCTCCGTGGTGCACCGCCCCCACGTGTCGTGGCACGTCCCACTCGTCTCCCCCGTCCCAGTGGCCGGCCTCTGGGACGTCCCTCTCCTCTCCCGCGCCCCACTCCTCTCTCGCGTACCCGTCCTGACATATCCCTCTTGCCCGCGCACCTCCCCACTCCCGATGCCCGGCCTCGGCCTCGGCCAGAACCTGCAGCTCCCCTGACCTCCTGTCCCGCGACACTCTCAGGCTTCCTCTTGCGACCAACGAACGATCGAATCGGCTCGATGATGCCTGAGGGGTCTCTGGGCGGCAACGGCATCGTCGCCCGTGCGCCGAAATCCGAGGGGGTGGCTTCACGACGAAGACTGGTGCCTGGGGAGTCATGCGCCCCTGTGCCGCTGCAATGTCCACTGGCACCCTGCGTATCCATCGTGGGAGGCGGCTGCAGTCCGGGGCCCGCGATCCCCAGTGCCAAAGAAGGATCTGGACGTGGCAACGGGAGCAGGGGAGAAACGCGTGCAGTGACACCATCCGCCCCGTGGCGTGCGCGCATCCCCTGCTGCGGCATGCATCGTCCATGTCTCCCGGGGTACCCCACCAATGCCTGCTCAATCGCCTCTGGCAAGTAACCGGCGGCTGCCAGGTCGTGCGCGATATCCTCCCTGTCTGTGCCTCCCTCTCTGGAGGTAGCCTCCCCAACAGCAGCCTTCCCACCAACGGGCTCTGCACACTGCACAGTCCGCGCTGCCAGTCTCCGCATCAGGGTCGACTCGCGGCAGATCCGACAACGGTCTCGGCAAGTACGCCGCCAAATCCCTCTCGGCATCGTGGCAGACAGCCGATGCCGTCCACAAGTCTAGCGGACCTGTGAAACCCGCTCGTCGTCTGAGCCTCCCCTCAAAGTCGTACTCTACTGCACGGTGGGGGCTGGAAAAGGTGGCAGCAGCCGAGGCGGGGCACTCGGACGATGTGCCCTCAACAGTGTCTCCCACGAAAGACGGCTGAAGCGTGCTCTCAAGGGCTGCCGGAGTGGGAGATCGAGTAGCGGGCTCCCTGAGCTGATGGGACTCCTGGGGTGCGGTAGTCGCTGCATCAACCTGGCCCCCCGTACCATCCCCCCCGATGCCATCATCTATGTCGGCGCCGCCCGACACTTCAGGAAACTCGTCTCCATGAATGTTGTGCGAGTCTGCCTCGGGGGCAGGTGTGCCAGCGAGGGGGGCTTCATCGTCGATCGGGGCGCGTGGTGGGAGCATCCGACCTGCAGGGCTCACAGTCGCAGGGGCCTCGGCATCCAAAAAACCGTCCCCTCGATAAGGCCCTGACAACCACGACACATCGTCGTCAATCACATCCTCCCCACGGGTCGTGTCATCGCCCTGCTGGCGAATCTTATGGTCCAACGCTGCTGCAGCCCATGCCAAGCGTCTGCCCCTCGACTGCCTCCTGAGGCGATTGACCTCCATCTCGATCTCCGTTGGGTCGTATGTCCCTGGGGCCATCACGTCCGGCTCAAAACGGGAGTAGTCCTCAACCCTCCTCTCCATATCAGTCAATCCGACCCCTGGCAGGCCTGCCCCTATGAACCCGCCACGCGCGTGACTGCTCTGGAGAAGCTTGAGGTTCCAGTGACAGAACACAAGCTTCTCCAATTGCTCGACACCCAGCCTGTTGGGCCTCTTCGTGTGCACGAAGTCGTGTGTGGACCAATTCCTCTCACAGGGAGAGGCAGTGGTCCACGCGCCCAAGCAGCGCATGGCGACATCTCGCAGTATCCGATGCTCAACCCCCTGAACTCGCCACCATCTCACGGGATCAAAGTCAGGCTGCTCGATCTCTGCATCTCCGACGGGTCCTCCCCAATGACCAGGTGCGGGATACTTGTCGTGGAAGTCCTGCAAAGAACTCCATATGGCAGTCATCTCGTTGCCCTCTCAGCCTCCCGCAATCTGGTTCGCGATGTAATCGAGCGCATTCTCGCTCATGTACTGTCCCTCGCATCAAGGTATCGATGCTGCGGTACTTGGGGTGCAACAGGTGTGCAGCACAATGAATCGGGGTGAGGAGCATATCAGACCTCTCCTTGACTATCTTCTTGATGGGCTCGTGACAAGCCTCGTCAAGAGAATCGATCGACTATGATCCGCAGCCTCTCCGGCAGACCCCACACGTCACCAACCCTGCGCCCGTCAGAATCAACCTGCTGAAGGAGCTCGTAAATGGGCCCCATAATGGTGGCAACGAGCTCCACCTGCTGTCACCACCGCGGATCGCGGAGAAGGCTAAAGCACCTACGTGCGCTGTCCCTCAATGCGGGGAGCCACGCGGTCGTCGCCCAGGCACTGGTGCTAACACAACCATCCAAAAATGCACGCAACTCCTTCATGCGCTTCAACATGATGAAGTTGGTCCCGATTACAGAGCAAACAGTAAGCCTCCTTGTTGGCCAACGCGTTGTTCGTACATATCGCCACCACATGCTAAGCGTCGATCTCTAGAATGAGCTCCCTCCATCTGAGGTACATACCTGCTCCGGTTCGCTCCCTACCAAACATATCCTCGACACGGTACAGGGATGCACCCAACCTCCCTGCAACCAAGTAGTTGCAGAGAGGGCGGTTGGCCTGAGTCGACCAGCCGTCCGTCATGAAAGTGACCCCCTCAGACCATGACTCTCGGTGATACCGCAAGCGCTCATCGAGCTCCGCATACAACAGGGACAAAAGAGTCGTGTGCAGTAACTTAGACCCCGGCTGGTGACGTCGATACGAACCCCTGAACTGACTGAGGTAGACGTCGTGTAAAACCAAATACCACTCCGATCTAGCGACGTTGAATGGGATACCACAACCCACGAAGAATCTGATGTACGCCATGTCGAGGTCGTACTGGATGGGGTGCTCGACCCATCCATCGAGACGAGTCTGGGTCACTCTGGGCACTCGGTGCCGAGCCTGTCTCCGCTCCGCAGGGTCTGCCGCCAGCCCTTCCTCGAGGGACAGGTATGCCCTCATCTCTCGCTCGCTAGAGCATCCTCTCTCTCCACCACTGCTGCTCGTTCAGCGGACCGCCAGCAGCCCCCTCAGGCAAACATCGTCTCCACCACTGCTGCTCGTCCCGCGGACCGCCAACAGCCCCCTTAGGCAAACACCGTCTCCTCCCTGGTGAAGCACCATGCGCCCTCTTGCCCGCCGGATCAAACCGTCTCGCCCGTGCGTGCTCTGCACGCTCTATCTCGTCCCCTCCCCCACGTGAGCCCTCTCCTGCTCCCTCTACCCCTTACGGACCCTCTCCTGCTCCCTCTCCCCCTCCACCAGAAGGGCCCACTGCTCCAGAGGCGCCCGCTCCTCCGAAGGGGCGTGCTCCGTTCTGCCTTACCACTGGTGTCGGACCGTCTCGGTCTACCCGCCCTCGTTCCTGTGCCAAATCAGGCGCAGGGACAAGGGGGGGCTGTCGTGCCACACCGCCAGGCAATCTCCAATTGAGGGGATGCTCGAAATCGAGCTCACCCTCCCTGTCAGCCTCCCGCATACAGACAGGGAACGAACCCTTCAAGGCTATGCCCGCCCTTTGCAACTCCCTAAGAATGTACACTCACTCGTGCGGGCACCTGTCATGCTCGCATGCGGTGTTGAAGTCCTGGCACACCTTGGTCTGGTTGCCGACCCACTGGTGACCATGCAACTTGCAACGTAGCTCGTGATTGCCCTTCGAGTCCGCCCCCGAAGGGCTGATCCACACCTGCCCCTTCTGCACATACTTCCAGATGACATGCTTCAGCCGAGGGTCGTTCTCGAAGCCTTCATAAGGCATGAACTCCGGCATGTGCGCCATGTCGCCCCCCTCCCCCCGCCCCCTCTACCCACCCGGCCCTACAAGCCTGCGACCTGGCGTGTGCGATTGAAGAAACACGGTAATTGACAACGCTGTATGCTCCCCCCGATCGTGACTGAACTAATGCCGACGAAATGCAGAACAGACCTGCACGATCAATCAACCAATCAACAAATCAATGAGGCACGAACTCCGGCGTGCGCGCGCGCGCGCGCGAAAAAGAGAGAGAGAGAGAGAGAGAGAGAGAGAGAGAGAG